GAAAGCAATTTTTTATTTAAATCGTTACAAATTACGATAATTTAAAATAGTTTATTTGAAAAACAGAGTGGAAGGTTTTAAATTTTATCAGAAAAATCATCTAAAATACAAACACTAGGAAACAAAGCATTTGTATTCAATTTTTTATTTAAATTGACAGAATTTTTGTATCAGAAAAATCATGATAGTTCAAATAGTTTAAAATATCAAATGCATAAAAACACATAATAATTTTAAGTTCTGAATGAGAATGTGGTGTGATAGACAAGAATTTTTGCTTTTGACTAAAACAGAGTATCCTATGCTTACACTTCGGACAATTAAATTCAATAAAAAAAATGAATTGTATTACTGGAATACAACAATATTATTTTTAATAAAAACAAAAAACAAACAAAATAATATTTTATCCATTATTGAATTACAATTTATAATAAAATAGATAAAAAGTATTTTTAAATAAAAGTTTTTTAAAGTTAATTATTTCTTGTATAAGAAATTATAATAATTGAATTTTTGTATTTTGCAGTTGAAATTTGAGTTGTTTTTTTTTTTATAAGAGAATACAGTATATTTTGATTACTAGACTGTTTATTAATTTACAATTTTGACATATTATTCAAAAAGTAATTTTTTTATAAATTAATAAATTTGAAAAAATAATTTTTTTTATTTTATATTTATTTTATATTTTTATGTTTATTATTTCAATTAATTTTTCTGATGTACAGTATATATCATTATAAATGAATTATTAAATTTAATTTACAATATAAAAAACAATCAAATAAATTATACGTACAGTATATTATTAATATTTTTCATTGAATAAGCAGTGAATGTATACAATTAAAAAATTTTTTATAAACATTAATATTAATTCGATGTAGATAAAATATATACACAGTGTCAGAGGGTAAAAATCGTGACGCGCCAGTCACGTGACTAATCGTCGCGATAGTGCTGCGAAGGACACGTTCCGATCATGGTACTCTAGGCCGTATGGAGGGAAAATGTAAGCGAAAGTGATGGGAAATGGTTAACTGGTAGCAGAATAGCGTGTTAGAGAGTTAAGCAATGAGGGGAGGATTGTGAAAACGATTAGGCAATATAAAATAGTTGTGACCGAACATTATGTAATTAGGGAGAATCATGAAAAGACATTAGATAATCGATGTCACCTTTATTTTTCAGAATGTAAAAACCGTCATAACTAAGATGTATAAAAAGAGGAAAGTAAAAAGTAAATAAAGGACATTGAGCTTTTTACTCAGCCAAATCGAACACACCTAAAAATTTCGCTAAGACCCCTTGCCTCATCGACGGTTACGCGACATTCTGCCCATTTTAGCGACAGACTCGCCGATTGACCGTCACAACAGTATATTGTGCACATGTGGATTAATAGAAATAGTATCTTGATAAAATAAATTATTATTTATTCATTTATTTATAAATAAGTATTAAATATAATGTTCTTTATGAAATAATAAGTATTGAAAATAATTGCATTCTAATTCTTTATATTAAATTATTATTATAAGTATCAAACCATTACAGTACTATGTAGTTCTTCGCATGAGAATTATCTTAAAAGATTTGTTTATATAACTTAAGTCGTAGATTAATTCTGCAAAGTTTCTTTTAATGATCTTTTTTTTTTTTTTTACATTATTACACTATTACAGTTTCCTTGAAAGTTAAGAGCCATTGATCGGTTTTATTTTTTTACCCTGTCATTACTGTTATCCATTTCGCGTTTCTTTTCAAACTCAGATAGTACGTCTTACCATTATTCTCCTTATTATAGCTAACAACAGAGATATGCGGTAGCATGTTCACTTATTTATAAAAGGTCAATACTTTATAATTTATTTCATTTTGAAAAAGTAGTATAAATAAATAAATAAATATTATATTTTCATTTACTTACGGTAGATATGGTTATTACAAAACAACCATGAGAACATAAGACATAAATATAAAATTATAAAAATTTTTGCTAAAATAATTGGAGCAGGCTATTATTTACGTATAATACATGCATGCAAAAAAAAACAAAAAAACCTCCATTGATATGAAATAAATAAAGTTCAATTGCACGGTGGTTTAGGGAATATATTGATAGCATCTCGTTTATCGAAAAGTTTCTGTAATATTTAATGCAAATGACATCATAAGCATTAATAAATTAAATTAAATTACAACGTAAAGATGCTAAAATGCAGTATAGGTAACGCTCATTGTTAAACCATAAAAAGTAATTTAACATTACCGAAAAAGTTACAATAATCTAAGTCGATGTAAACCTGTGTCTATTAAAAATGATATTATAATAAAAATTGTTAAGAAAATCTGAAAATGTAATGAAGTAATAAGTTCTACGGCGCATTCACCTGCATAGTCAGCTGACAATATTTCAAGTTCTTGCTCATAATCAGGGGCATTAGTTGGTTGTGATAGATTTGAAAAATCCAAGAGTCTACTAGTGTAAATGGCATCTGGGTGCGTTTTATAATCAAGTCCCGAGAATTTACTAGCTAGTGATTCTTCTGAAGTTTCACTTTCGTAATCTTTAACTTGTTCCTTAAAATCCGAAGGTTCATCACTTTCGATCAAACGAATCCAGTCTAATGTAGTTTTCCATAACTCACTAGTATCGGGTCTTTGAGATGGCCTCGCATCCCAACATTGCATTATTAATCTAACTAAAAGTCTTGGAATTCTGAATGGAATTTTTGGACGTAAGCCTTGACAGATTTGTACAGCAAGATCTTGATCATGAGGAATATTATAGTATGGAGGAAATCCTGTGATCATTTCATATGCTACGATTCCAAATGAATAAATATCTGCTGCCGGTGTGTAAGCATGACCACACAAGACTTCGGGTGCAATGTATGGAAGAACTCCACGAATTTCTTGGCGAGTCTTGCTTTCTTGAGTTTTATCAAATAATTTGCAAAGACCGAAATCTGAGATACTCAGATCTAAACTATAATTATATAAAAGATTTCCAGGATGAAAGTCTCTATGAACTAATTCACTCAAGTGCATATAAAGTAAACCTTCTAAAATCCTTCCTAATGAATTTAATTTTAATTTCAAATCGATATTGTAAAAATTATGGTCCAAGTAATTCCTGAGACTACCATTTTCTTGAAACTCAAAAACCATCATATAGCATAATGACTCTGGCTGTTGCGTAATCCCATAACATCTAATAACATTAAGGCCCCACAGAATAGAATGTTTCTCGATCTAAAATATAAAATTAATTATAATAATAATAAAACTATAGTTAAACGAGGTTTAATATTCTTTACCTCATTTATAAAATTGTCAACTGAGCTAAGCTTATCTAAGCTTTTTAATGCTACTTTCATTCTAGACCACCTATCCCATTTCTTATTGAGAACATCCCATTCTTTGATAGCGCCATCTTCCCATGTCGCAGAATACACAGTGCCGTATCCTCCTTTAGCGATATATTTGACATCTTGAAAATGTGTATACGGTATCCATTCTAACACTTTACCACTAAAGCCAGCTTGAAGCTGAGACTTTTTTATTAATTCGTCAATTTTTTTATCTCCACTTGTCCATTTGTAAAAATCTTGTTGAAAGTGCTTTCTATTACATGACTTGCACCACTCGTATAATGGTTTTTTTCTGTCGCATTCAGGACAATAATCAAATGATTGCATTTTTTGATCCCTTTAAACTCCTCAATACGTATTATATACATTGCATAACGTTACACGAATACTCGAATTTTGACAATCTATTTATTTATTATAAGCAAATTTTCTAGAACCTTTACAATTATTTTTTTTTAAAAATGATTTGTATTGTTTGAAAAAGAGGGGTTTTCTAATTTACAACCACGAAATTAAATAAGAAATTACAAATAAACAAATGAATGAATTGTGGATAATAAATATATATACGGTATATACATTTATTTTATTTATCATAATGAAAAAATAAAAATAAAGAATGATGTAAAGTATACACAAACAAACCACTTCAAATTTTATATAATCAAAAATCACAAAAATGAAATGAAATCACACATAGTAAACAATGATTAGGATATGATATGGTAATTGAAAATAATAAATCCTTTAATTTCTTTACCACAATTCAAATTATCATTACACAATAAGTAATTAATTGTGTGTACTAATCATTTTTTTTTTAAAATACATGGGTTAAAAATCATATTAAATAATCTCATTTTAGATATCAAATAAAATAAAAATGATAAAAAATAGTCGATTTTTTTATTTAAAAGAAATAGATATAAACTCAATAAAAAATATTGTGATTATATGAAAATTAAAAGTTTTCAAGGTATTGCAAAAGTTTTTTTAATATTACTAAGCATTTTGATATATTAAAAATTGTTTCGTATTGACATAATCGTTAAATGCGAATCATAGATTATTTTACTACGTTTGAATCCTGATTTATTTTATATTTACAATAGTTCACTAGATTATTTTCAAAAAATATTTTTTAAAAAATACACACAGTTGATATCATAATGCTGTATGTGAAATGTAGAAAGTGATTTTCCAGTATTTTTCACTATTTAATTCTTATGATAATTTTAAATATACAGTGTAAAATAGCGATTTACTAAGGAATAACTTTTAAATAAAGATTTACGAATATAATATCGTCTGTTTATTGGGTTCGAGTGAGGAATTTTTAAATAATTAGTAATATAGCATGGTGATAACATTTAAATTGTAACCTATACAATTTTGTTCTGTTATGATATTTAATAGTGAAATCTTAATATGGCGCTAATCTAGATAAAGTTCGATATGACACCCATGAAAAAGCCAAAGATGATCCAGATGTTTGAAATCATCGTTCTTTCAGCACCAGAACTCTTTCCCGTTTTCGTAGGGGCCATGGCTCTAAATTAAATATTAAAATTAAAAAATGGAATAACAATGAAAAATACGTATTTACAAAAAATGCAAAACTCACGTAACAGTCGTGACTCTCTCAGGTTTAGCAAAGGAAATCCCTGGTCCTGGTGGTTTCAAATTGCTTGGATCATTTAATTTGCCTTGCACCGGACTGATAGTCGTACTTTCCCTTACATTCATATTGCCCCTGCTGTTTCCTTTGTCAAGGGACTTTCCTTGAACAACTTGAAACTCAACAAAAAAATTTTCACCACTACCATCATTAATGGTGAGGATATAAGTTTCAGAGGATATGCTTAGGCTCCATTGAAGTCTGTGAATTGATAAGTCAAGTGAATTATTAATGTTTATGGATTCACCAGTGTCTTTGTTCTGGATACGCAGAGAGCCAAGAATTATTAGCATGGGTCCTATGAGTTCCCAACTGACTAATATATTGGCACCATGGGCAATATTTCTGATAGGTGTGTTAATGACTACATCTAAGTTTTTGCAAAAAAGAAATGTTATTTTGAGAGCCACAAGTGGATTGATTTACAGATGTGTAATAATTTTAATATTTATTTTCCTTATCCCTAAGATAGTTTATGTAGGCAAGCTAGCATTAGACTTATTAATTTAGCTGTTTATATATGAGATGTTGTTGCTTTTTTCATATATAAATTTCAAACAATTTTACAATTAATAAAGTAATAATGTTTACCTATCAAAAAAAATTATTTTACTTTTAATAAGTTAAAATTTTTATAATTAAATTATTAAAATTGTAATAATTAAAGTTATTCATTACAAATAATTTTACAAAATTGATTATAAATTATATAAACTTTAACTTATAAAATTTTGTTTGTCTAAGATTAACTTTTATTAAAAACCTTTATTAAAAAATAAAAAATTCGACTTATAATAAAGCTTTAAATTTTTATTAAATATATAAAAAATAGATACTATTAATAAATAATATATAATTAAAAGTAATATTATATAAATTATTAGAAAAATATTTTGATTATTTAAAAAAATAAATAAAAAGTAACTTTTTAATTAAAAAATTTAAATATTATAAAAAAATATCATATGATTTAAGGAATATACTATATATAACAAAGTTTTTTGAATTTTTTTAATTTCAAGCTTATTTAAAAATTTACAAAAAAGTTAAAACTATAATAAAATATAAATTTGATATTGAAAAAATATTTTTTTAAAATTAATTATATATTTTTTAATATATTATTGACATTAAAACGGCAAGTCTGTTGCTTGGGGCAGGTCAAACTCATGTAATGTCAGAGTAGGTTGTTCTTCTTTCCTCTACTCGAGATATAGATTTGACTTAGCCAATTTTGAACCTATAATTAACCTTCTTCTTTCCTTTATCACTCTTCATCGATTGTTTGAGTCACTATCCTTTTTAGTAACTACCAGAATGATCCTCTTGTGGCGAGGTTACTCTAGAAGAGGAGTTAATTATCAACTTTCTTTTTAAACGTATCTATCACATTACCACTTTTAGTAATTTTTAATTAACACTCGCACAACCATTTGCGCTTCTACCAGAGGGATAATTTATTATTACTAAATTAAGTTAAAGTTAGCATTATTATTGTTGTTGTTCAAATTCCTTCTTTTTTTTTTCTTTTTCTTATTTTTTTCACTTTTGTCACTCTTATTTATATGACTCATAAACTATCACACTATATAAACTATTTAAACTTCTTATTACATCATATAAGTAATTACTAAGATATTTCCATTGCTTCGATTAGGTGCATGAAACAGATGTCATGTCCCTAGGCCTTATCTATGCAATTTCCTACCAACAATATTTAATATCAAATCAATCTCTAATCCACAATACTTTTTTATTAATTTAACAATTTTTATTTAAAAAATTTAAAATTAAAAGTATTAACAAATATAATTATCAATTATTTTATATGTACAAAAACAATTCTACTTATTTAAATATTATTATAATATTTTTTATTTTTTTTATATATTAATATAATTAGTATTGATAAAATTATATTCCATTGGTAATTGTTACATTCTTTTTATTATATTATTTATTATGGAGTATGATAAATAATATAATAAAAAGAATGGAATAATTATCAATGGAATACAATTTTGCCAACACTAAATATAATGCAATTATTTGCTCAAATATATAATATTTTTATAAATTTCTTAAAAACATATTTTTTATTTATTTTATTTTAGGATTATATAAAAATAATTGATTTTTATTAAACAATTATCAAAAAAAAAGTAATATATTATATTGAACAAATTTTTAAATAAAATAACAATTAAATAATAAACTAGGAACAAAATATATTAATAAAAAACCTCTTTTTCACACAAGAAAAATTGCCTTTTTAGAGAATCAAAAAAAGTGACTAGAAAGTGAAAAAAAAAATGGGAGTCAGTCAAGCAACAACATCAAGTGAGAGAAGAGAAAGAGATATAGAGACAAAAACAATAAATGCAACTAGAACTGCAAGAGTGATGGCAACTACAATTGTCAAAAAAGAACCAGAAAGACCTAAAAGCTTGGATAAAGAAAAGAGAAAAAAAATATCAGTACGTGCAACAAGCATGGATATAAGGAAAGAGAAGGAGAAAGAAACAGAAGAGGAGAATAAAAAAGCAGAAAAAGAAATGCAAAAGACAACAGAGGAACAAGACATGGAAATAGAAGAGAGAGACATAGAAATGAAAGAGAAAAATGAGAATACAGAAGGAGCAGATATTAGAGCAGAAGTAAAGAAGCATACAAAGAGAAAGAAAAGAAGCAACAGAAGGAGGGGGAGATCAAGAAAAGTAGAAAGAAAACCAAGACACATATGTACAATGGAGCTAACAATAGGCATTGAATCAGCAGAAGCTTTAGAAATAGTAGAGGAGGCATGTATAGCCTTTGACTCTTTCTTGAGAGTAAAAGTAGGAAGAGAAACAGCAGGAAAAAAAAAAGCAATTATTGCCAATTTTGGAAATCTCATTGAATGCAGGAGGCATGTGATATCAACTTTGGTACAGACGAAAATAAAGAATATTTAATTCTGGCAGAACAAAGGGAACACCAATCAGAAAAGAAAAATACAGTAATAGTCAGGAACATTCACCTTTCAGCAAGTAAGAGAGCAATCAAAGCAACTTTGAGAAAGTTTGATGATATCCATACCATAGAGATCCAATTAGTAGAAATGTGGCAAACAGCAACTGTAACTTTTAAGGAAGAAAAGAATACACAACTACTAGCTGAAATGTGGTCAATCCCTTTTGAAAAAGAATATCTAAGAATATTTTCAAAATAAAAAGAAAAAGAGAACTTGCAAAAAGATTCAAATATGTACTCAAACTAGCAGGTTTGCCAGTAGACACCATAGTATATGACCTAGAGAAAATAGTAAAAGAAACAAAAGGGAAAATCCTGTATATTTCAAGAACAGGTAGGTACTTCTGAAAAAGATTTGCATATATAGTATTTGAAACAGAGAATTAATTAAAAGCAGCAGATAAACAAACCTTTAGCTTGGACAGAATGACAATTAGTTTTGTAGACCAGTATGAGAGACTTTGCTACAAATGTGAATAGAGTGAACATATCACCTTTCAATGTAAGGAAGTAAGAATTCAGAAGAACAAATCTATTGCTCAAGCAAAATTTGCATCAATTCAATCAAGGTTCAGAAAAGGACCAGAAAAAGAGGCACCTATATTCTTTACAGAAATAATGAGAAAGTGAAACCAATCCAGATCAGTACTCAAAAGAGAAAGCAGGAAACAAAAAGAAATTAAAGGGAGACTAAGCAGCTTAGAAGGAAAAATCAGAAAAATGAAAGAGAAAATCAATACGTTATGAAAATAGTGGACAATATCACAAGAAGAACAAAAAGAAGCAGAATACAGGAAGGAAAAAACAGAAGAACAGCAAATACAATATCAAGATGCAGAAGAAATAAACACCAAATAAGAGAAAATTTCATTGACAATATATGAGACAATCAATAAGGAAGAAGCAGAAAGACAGGAGAAAATAGAAAAACAAATAGAGCAAATGGGAAGAATGTTAACTGATTTATTGGAAAATGGCCAGTCAATAATTATATAGAAGAAATAGCAATTGCAAGGATAATAGAAAAGATTCGTACCACAACAACAAAAATATATATGATATTACAATAGGAAAATAGCCAAAATAACAAAAAAAACATTAACATATATAAGGAAAAAAGAACAAATATAGAAATCATAAAAATAGTGACAGTAAATATAAATGAATTAAAAAAAAGTTCAAAAAACAACAATTGCAACACTATTATTATTAGAGTAATACAACCATAATAGGAATATTTGATATCAAGTTCAAAAAAGCAACAAATAGAAAATTAATGAGAAACAAGAAATACAAGATGTTTTGGGCACACACTGAAAAGCATGCAGGAGAAGTAGACCTAATAGTACATAGAAACTGGGCGAAATATATCAGAAAGATAATAAGATGGCAAGGAAGAATCTTGGCAATAGAATTAACTTTTAAAGAAATATAAAGTATAGGGGTAATACAGGTATATGTTCCACCACAATTAAGTCAAGAAAGAAAAAAAACAATAATAGAAACGAAAAAAATCCTAAGGGAATGGAGAAAGAGACAAGTAGTAGGTATAATAGTCATGGGGGACATAAATATAACAAGTAAAAGTGATATGGATAGAACAGGGAAAAAGTGTAATGGTTTAAGTAAAGGAACATGTTGGTCATTAATAGTTTATCATTATTAAAGAAAAACTTTATTAATAGAGAGTGGAGCAGACAACTCTAAAGATAATTAAAGAAAAAATACAGCCTTTAAATACATGTTTTTCCAATATAAATAAATAAAATACATAAAGAATAAAATACATATAATCTTAGTGATTCTCCTGGAGATCATATGAATTAATAAAGAAAAAGAAAATAAAATAAGATAATAAATAAATTATAATATTAATCAAACATATTAATAATATCCTATAACCCCTTGATATCAATTACTAATTGATAACATATGTTAATTAGTAAAATCCTATTGGATTAATAATTACTATAAGTTTTGGGTTTCGTGTCACTTCGGAACTTCGGGATCAGCAGATATCATGTGAAATCGGATATATGTTTTAGTCTAATCATTAGTGTTCTTTGGCCGGAGTCTAAATCCTTAATTATTAAGAAATTAGTGTTGACAATATCTTTTCAACCATTAATAAAAAATACTTCACTCATCAAAATACCTATAGTATCTTAAGATCGTTTGAGAGGTTGTCATCTAACTTTTGAAAAAAAATCGGAATTTTTACTGGGCGTCTATAGATTTGTTACAGAAAGGAACCAAAAGGAAAGAAAAAATGGATCAAAAT